TCACATGGAAGGAGCTGGAAAATGTTCTTCTTAGCAAAGTATCACAAGAGTGGAAGAAAAAGTATCCAATGTACACACTCCTATTATGAAATTAATTTCTAGCTTTCATATGAAAGCTATAACCTAATAACAGCCTAAGAATACGGGGAAAGGGGAGCGAGAGGGGAGTGGGGAATGAGTGGAGGGAGGGGGATTGGAGGGATCACTTCTGTGGTTTATCTTACAAGGGTACAAGTGAATCTTTCTAAGAGTAGAACATGAAAGTTTTAACACAATAACTAAGAAAACCACATGAAGGCTATGTTAACCAGTTTGATGGAAATGTTTCAAATTGTATATGAAAACCCCACACTGTACCCCAGAAGTGCATTAATGTACATAGTTACCATTCAATAAAAAAAAAGGAAAGGTAAATAAAGCTTCTAGAATACAACATAGGAAAATATCTTCATAACCTTAATGTAGGCAAGAATTTTTGAATATGAAAGATAATCCACAGAATGGGAGATAATATTTGAAATATTTATAAATTACAAAGGACTCTTATCTGGTCTATGTAAAGAACTCTTCAAATCTATCCCCAAAAGACAGAAAATCCAAAAGGTAAATTGAGCACAAGACTTGAATAGACACATCACAAAAGTTTTCACAGGCAATAAAAGAATAAAATGGTGCTCAAACTCAGTAATCATTAGGAGAATGAAAGCTACAACCCCAGTGAGAAAACATTACACACCCACCAGCATGGCTCAAGTTGAAAAAGTCTATTCCAAGTACCAAGTTCTAGAGGGGACACGAAGCAACTGGTATCCAACTGGTGAAAGTGAAATGGGTATCCTGCTTAGGGGTAGCTGAACACAGGAGACTACTCTTTCACCCTGCTACTCTACTCTTAGGTGTACCCAAGTGAAATGAGTGCATTTGTCCTGCAAAAGATAAGGTTAAAAGCATACATAGCAGCCATATTTCCCAGGGTCCCAGATTTTAAAAACCCAAATGTCCATTATTAGTAAAATGGACAAAAAAGTTGTGGGACGCTCAAGAAATGGAGCATGCCACAGCAACAAAAATGAATCAACCACTGCCATATGCAAAAATGTGGGTGGCTTTTGTAAATGCTAAATGTCAGAAACCAGAAATAGACTGCAAATGACATAAATTCTATGTAAAAGTTTAGTACAGACAAGACTAACCTATGGTCTTTTGGCCTTTATTGGCCAAAAGGGTGGATGGTGACAAAGAAAGACAGGCAGAAGTCTTCTGGGATGCTATTGATACTCTATTTCTGATCGATATTTATACAGATAAAACATTTCACTTTGGGAAATTTTGCCAAACCAAACAATTAAGACTGATGTGCTTTTCTGCATGAATTTCAAACCTCAATAAATTGTATCAACTGGAAAAAAAAACTTGAATGAAATATCACTGATGATGTCATGTAAGGAGATGGGTACTCTGTATTGCTGATAGAAGTGTAAATCACAAATATCTTTGAAAGGCAATTTTTTCATATCCATACAACTTGAAATGCCATCTATCCCTTGAACCAGCAGTTGTACTTCTAAGATTTTTTAGTTATACTTCGACACATACTCAAAGATACAGTATAAGGATATTCGTGGCTGCATCACTTTTAAACCTAAACATCAGAGAGGTTATCTGAGTACATCATAGTGCATTTAAACAATAAAATGCCAGTGTTTAAAACAAACAAATGTCAACCAAATCTGGCCCAAGTCCGTGAGGTCACGTTCTAGGTTTACATATGTTCGAACACCTCTGGAAGGGCACACAAAGATCCAGCAGTGGTGCAGCCTCTGTGACAGGCACTAAGGGACAGGGTCTCAGGGTGGGAGAAGGATTACCCCATTGTACTATGAATTTTGTACCATGTCAGACTACAAACTCATTAGTCAAAATAGAAATGTAGTCCTGACCTTACAGTGGAGTCCAGGAGTGACAGCACCAAGGGATGCCAGAGAAGGGCAGGGCTTCAGAGGCCATCAGATGAGGAGACTGCGGCCCCCATGGGCCACGTTCCTTCAGAATGGAACGTACTTTCCCTAGGAGGTAAACACGCTGGGCCCACTGCTCTTCCACCTGAGTGCAGATGAAGCTACAGATAGCAACTGAGGCTGCAGGAAATACACACAGGAAAAGCAGGTTTTCTGAAGGAGTAGTGGGTAGGGGAGGCAATCACATACGGTCCTGGTAGCATCCTGGACAGACCAAACTGGATGTGGGGAAACAGGAGGGAACTATTAACAAGCACTCCTACCTCAAAGCAGGCTTAGGATAGAACAACTGATTTCAACATCCACTGGCTTCTCATAAGGTTCCATGTCCATGTATTTGTTTAATCAATTCATTCATCAATGTTTTTGCATGTCTGCTATGCACAGGGATCTGGGTTGGGCATGATGACTTTAGCCATAAACACAGTCCTTATGAGTTATTAGGGCACATACTGGCCCAACACACAGGTGAAATGTGGTCATCTATTGAGATGACCCTTGTCAAACTCCCCCTCCTTTCTGAATGCTCGGTTGTTGTTTAGTGAGTTGTGAGTGTAGTACAAAAGCATATTTTCATCCTTCTTGCTCATTTGAAATACACCTTTTTAATTTTCTCCCCACATTTATTGTATAAATGAAGTTCAGTAAACTGCACATTCTGAAAGTTTACAAATAAACCATCATGACGTAGGTTACACCCACAAAACCATTGCCACAGGGAAGACAGAGAACGTGTCCATCACCCCCAAAAGTATTAACCTGTCTCAACCTTCCCTGAAACTCACTGCCCGAGGCTGCTGGTTGGGCCACCATCCTCCCCCAGTTCCCACAGTGAGCACTTCAGACCCTCACAGACCCCTCAAGCCCGTCTCACTATTCCCCACTCCTTCCCTCTGCACTGCCAGAATGTCCTCCGTGTTTGGCCTTGAATAAAGCCCAGCAGTTTGCTGATACTGTTGGTTTCAAGCAGGAGCCTAAAAAATTATTATTCTGTGGTTTGTTGGCCACTTCAGAACTTTGGAATTGTAATGGTCATTTCATTAGGAAGAAACATCTGGGATGAGTGCAGTGGCTCATGCCTGTAATTCTGGCACTCCAGGAGGCCAAGGTGGGGGGACCCCTTGAGCTCAGGAGTTCAAGAGCAGCCTGAGCAAGAGCAAGACCCTTTCCCCACTAAAAATAGAAAAATTAGTCGGGCATTGTGGCATGTGACTATACATCAGCTATTCGGGAGGCTAAGGCAAAAGGATTGCTCAAGCCTAAGAGTTTGAGGTCGCTGTGAGCTATCAGGCCATGGCACTCTAGCCAGGGCAATGGAGTGAGACTGTCTCAAAAAGAAAAAAGAAAAAAGAAAGAAAGGAGAAAGAAAGATCTGAGTCATTAAGAAAAAATTTCCTCCACGGCGTTCTGTCATCTTGTCATTCTATTGCCCCAATCTAGTTTCCGAGGAACCACTGTGGTTACACAAGGTAATAATGGCTTGATGGCATGTACACAGTGCTTACTGGAGCCTTCCGCATGCTCTCAGAAAGGCAGGTTCTGCATGTAGCAGGTAAGAGCTATGTGATTGAGGCCAAGTTCATCGGGGCTTCAGTTTGCTTATCTGCCAAATGGGATTGTCCTTACTACAAACATATTTTAAACAAGCTAATTTCTGTAAAGAAAAAATAATTTTCCTTATGTCCTTTGGTAATCAATCCCTCCTTCCATCCTCACCCCCAGGTATCCATTGTTCTACAGAAAGCCTTTTGGAAATAAGGAAGACTTACTACTTTGCTATCTCCTCAGGCCAAACCTCACAGAGCAGATACTTAAGAAGTATCAGAAAATGAGAGTAATTTTAGAGAAATCACAGACCCACACCAGATTTGAATTGAAGGGCAAACAGCTTTAGCAACATGTAGGCATTTAATCTCCCAGAAAACTTCAGGGAAAGTATCATTATCCTCCTTTTATGAACAAGGATACTGAGCATCAGAGAGGTTAAGGAGCTGGCTCAAGGCTACACAGGCAGTAAATGGCAAAACTAGAGCTCCATCTGTCTGGACCCAGAGCCTTGCACAGCAGAACACATGCCCTGCAGGTCCTAGAGGGTCCCACCTGCCCCCAGGGTGGCCTGCCAGGACACACGGAGCCCACTCTGTGTCCTGTAGGATTCCTAGCACCCTTCCCCTTGTCCAGAAGGGATCTGGCAGGGTCCATAGGCCAAGAACACTAACTTCCCATCCACAGACATGGCCCAGCCCAATCTGAGGCTGAGACCAAGGAGCCCCTGCCATTACAGGGGGGACCTCCTAGAGAAATGCCCACACTGCAATAATCTGGAGCAGGGTCCATGTTGGAGACAATTTAACACCACCTAAAACCAACACAACTCAGGGACACATGTCTGACAGTTAAGTTCACAGACTCATCCTTTAAAAAAGTACTTTGAAGGGTAGACTAGGCACTGGTGGTGCACAGCTTCCCAAGGGGGGGGGTACCTTGAAGGTGAACGTAGTGATGTTCAGCAATCAGGTATGTAGCACTTTGTCTAGGATAAGTTTGCAAACTTGTCAGACCTTATACACACAGCTTTTAAAAAGTTACAAGTAACAAGTAAAAGTTACAAGTAACATGCAAATGCTTTACTTTTCCCCTGACCCCTCCTCATCTGTGGACAAGCCAGCCACAACAGGGACATGGTGGGAAGGGGATAGGAAATGTGGGTGGGGTGACATGACCTACCGAGATGTGTAGGTCTCACTACTCAGAACCTCAAACAGAAAAAAATAACCAGTGGTTTTACATCTGGACAAGTCATTTTGGCACATCCACCCCAAAATGGCTACATGTAGGTGGCTGAGAGAATGTTCCAAAGCCCTCTCTGGGCTTCAGCTTCCACAGGAAATGTAGGGTAGAGGCTGCAGGAAGCATCTGGGAGCAACACATGTCACAGGGCTGGGTTCCTTCAGGGAGCTGAGGGGCAGAGGCTGGGGCTACATACCACTTAGTGGGACAAACAAACTGAGCAGATGCATCCTGAATCTCTGGTGATAGGCATTAGAGCTGCCAGACTTCCTGGGGGAACGAACCCTAGATGGGCATATGATTCCCAGCTCCTCTGCACAGAGGACATGATACCCCAGCTTGGAGAGTTTCAGGACTAGCTGTGTAGGTTGCTCAGTGCAGCCCTGGCATTTAGAAGGAGCACCTCAATGGCGGCTCCCTCCTGTTCCACTTCTACTCCCACCAACACCCTGACAAAACCCTGATGTTCAACTGAAAGAGCTCTCTGGGTGCTGCGGGAACTTTGCATTAGCCTCAAAGTGCCCTGCCTGGATCCGTCTCCTTCATTCTGTGCATGGAACCCTTGGTTACCACCCTATGGGGCAGGATGGTTACTAGTTCTGCACTTGGGTTCCTTGTTACTCTTTTTATCATCTGAACTAGACAGAGAAGGGCTGTGGTGGTAGAGGGATGCCCCAACAGGCCCCGCTGCTGCTGCATCTCCTTCCTCATGATCACGATCTTCTACACGCCACCCTCCCCCAGCTGGCTGAGAGATCACAGCATGGTCTGACTCGGGTCCACTAAGCCTCATGATCCCAAGCAAAAGAGAGCCAGAGCTCTTGCCTAGTCTGTTGCTCTGCCACCAGCAGCCCTACACACGAGCTGATGGTACACATCAGTTTGTGCACTAGAGAGAAATGCTTTCAGCAAGAGAGGGCAGGAAAGGGCTGTGAGGGAGGCAAGTCCCAGAAGTGTATGGGAAATAGAAGGCCAAAGGTTGGTGGAAGCAAGATGGTGTTTTGCCAAATCCTCCAGATGACACATCACTGGTGTTGGTGCACAGCTCTTGTGCTTTAATAATGACAATAGAACCTCCACAGTTGACCACCTCCCTACACTAACAACCTCCTTAAGTTGACCTAATTTTTATAAACCAGACATGTACCACATGTACACATCAGTACAGTAGACCTAGTTCCTCACGGTAATCACCTCTGTATGTTGACCAGTTTGTAGTGGTCTCTGGATGACCAACTTACAGAGGTTCTACTGTATGTAGCAGGCACCCACCACATGCCAAGCACTAGAAGAAGCAGAGATGTAAAAATGACCAGAAAGTGGTCTTTGCCCTCCCAATGCTCATAGGAAAAAGCAACACACCAAAGGAACACTGTAACACAGGAAGGGTTGTCACCAGCTGCAAAGGGGAAGCATCAAACAATATCCAGAGAGGCCAGGCAGGTTTTGGTGGGAGGGCACTGTCCAGCAGGGACTTGAGATGAAGTATAGTGGCTGAGAACAGGTGCTAGAGTTGGCTGCATAGGTTTGCACCCAGGTTCTGCCAGTTACTAGTTCTATGAGCTTAGTCAACTTACTAACCTCTCTGTGCCTCAGTTTCCTCAACTGTAAATGGTACCCACTTCATGAGGTTGTTGAAAAGATTACACGAATACACGTACAACACTGTTAGTATAGTGTCTATAAAAGTATTTATTAAAATTATTGTCTTCAGAAAAAAAGCTCATCATTCCTAATCATCCAAAAAATGCAAAACCACCCTGAGATATCACCTAACTCCACTGAGAATAGCCGACATCACAAAGTCCCAAAGCCGCAGATGCTGGTGTGGATGTGGAGAGAAGGAAACACTTTTACTCTGTTGGCGGGACTGCAAACTGATACAGCCTCTTTGGAAACAAGTATGGAGAATCCTCAAAGAACTCAAACTTCCATTTGATCCTGCAATCCCACTACCGGGCATTGACCCAGAAGAAAAAAAATCATTTTATTATAAGGACATTTGCACTAGATTGTTTATCGCAGCTCAATTTACAATCAACAGGATGTGAAAACAACCCATATGCCCATCAACTCAGGAATGGATTGACAAACTGTGCTATATCTATACCATGAAATACTATTCAGCCATAAAAAGATAGAGACTTTACATCTTTTGTATTAACCTTGATGGAAGTGGAACACAAGAATGGAAAAACTAATATCTCATGTATTTAATACTAATATGAAGCCAGTAGAAGATCTGATACACACCCACATAAGATAAGAACTCAATTCAATTCAAGTTGGGGCAAAGGGGAAAGAGGAGGGCAGAGAAGGGAAGGGGAGGGAGATTGGTGTGCTCCCACTTAATGGGCACAATGGAAGGGTATATGGCACACCTCTTGGGGGCAGGACACAACTACTAGAGGGACTTAGTCTAATACAAACATTGTTACCTACTTGTTTGTATCCTCCCATTAATCTGAAATTTTTAAAAAAAGAATATGACTGTATATCTTTTGTATTAACCAGGATGGAGTTGGAGAACATTCTCCTTAGTAAAGTATCATGAGGTTGGAAAAGCAAGCACCGACTGTACTCAATACTAATACGAAACCAGTAGGTGAACAATGACACGCCCACATGAGAGAAAAACAGTTAAAATCAAGTGACGGGAAGAGGGGGAAGAGAGGGGAGGAGGAGGAAGATTGATGTGCTCCCACCTACCGGGCACGATGTAAGGGTCTACAGCACACCCCCGGGTGAAGGGCTCAACTACAACTTGGACTTTACCTAACAAACGCAAACAATGCAGCCTAATCGTTAGTACCCTCATATTAAGCTGAAATTTTTTTTAAATGCAAGAAAACAAGAATAGATTAGTGTCTTGAAGAAAAGGAGGCATATGGTGGGTGAAAAAGAATACAGGGAAGGGGGTTAGGAAGCAGGACCAGTGTGAACAAAAACAGGGTGGGGGAAGCCATGTAGGGGCTGTGGCACCACACTGGGAAGCAGCCAGGGGTTCCCTGCGATGGAAAAGAGAAACCAAGCGGCCCTAAACTCACACAGTGGGTACAGCAGTAGAGGAGAGGGGAGGACCGGAACCTGGAGACCCCTGGATGAGAAGACAAGGAAAAGGCAGAACCCAGGGTGACCTAGGTGAGCCACGGAGCCACCAGTCAGGGCTGGGGAGCCTGGGGCACCATAGGTCTGGGGCCAGAGTAGAGAGAGATGATAAAATAATGGGTGGTAGGCACAGATCTCAGAGCTATACACAAATTACT